AGCTTTGGCTCTCCCAGAAGCCCTTAGTCTGATGTTTTGTTTTGTTTTCTGGATAAGGGCAAGCGATGCCATCATCTCCTGCCGAAAAGCCCTGGCTGCCCTCCCAACAAGGAGTTGTCACTTCAACTGAGGCTTTTTTTTTTTGGTGGCAACAAAATAATACCCAGCAGGAATTTGGGAGGAGAAAAAAGAGAGTTCAGTTGGCAGGTTCTCAAATGAATGGGTTGTAGTGTCATTGGAACTGAATTGGGCTTGAAACCAGACATGATCCTATTTTGGAAGTATTGTTCAGAGGGATGGGAAATGTGAACAGAGGATAAGTCTCTTCAAAAATGCTCTTTATCCTTGGCCTGTTCAAAACACCCCATTTTAACTAACTCTCCCATTCCCTTAATGTCAAGGGCCTGTCCGAAAACCTAGAGGAGGTCAGAACAACTGGAAAATTGATCAACTATTCATCTGTTGATCGTTTGCTTAGAGCACCAGTTTTACTTTGGGAAGGGATTGTGATCTTGAGTTCAAGTTTAATTCGTTGTTCTCCTTGTAATTCATAAATCCTGGCTCTTAGATTCATTGATGTTTTGATAAGGTAGCACAGTGATCAGGGTATATATATTTACTATACATTTAACAAATATTTATTGAAAAATTTTTTGAAAGCCTCCTGTGTTCTAGGTACTTTGTAAGGTGGATATGGAAATCAGCAAATCTGATACAATTTTTGTCTTTGTGGAGTTTTTATAGTCTTGAAACATGAACAGGTGCTACAGAGAACAGGATGCTATAAGGGTCTGTAATATGAAACCTTAATATATATTGTGGCATGGGGAGTTCAGAGAAGGCTTTTCTGAGGAATTGGCACTTGAACTAAGATCTGAAGGATGAGTGCAAGTTAGCTAGGAAGATGCAAGGGCTGAGGGTGGGATGGGGGAAGCGTTCTATGAAGTATTTTAGAAGAGATGTGCCAGTATTGAGAAAGACACAGGGTATATACAACTTACTGGTCACTGGAGCTGAAAGTAGGAGAACTGGGAGAAACAGAAAGAGATGAGTCTAGAGAGGCAGCAGGTTGTCTAGAATCTACACTGTCTATACGATATTAGGATTTGAGTCTTTATTCTATGAGTAGTGAAAGGGCAAGGGAGAATTTTAAACAGAAAAAGAATATGGGGTTTGCCTTCTGCATAGATAACTTTAGTCACAGGGTAGGGCTGGATCAGAAGCAATTAGCTTTCACAGTTATAATGTCTACAGAGGAATAATCAATGAAATGGCCAATGGTGTTCCCTACTTTAACTCTCATCCAGATAATAACTTAGGCATGACACAATTTTTAAGGAAAGAATCATTTTTTTTTTCTTTTTTGAGTTGAAGTCTCACCCCTGTTGCCCAGGTTGGAACGCAGTGGCACACTTCCAACCACCGCACCTTCGACCTGCTGGGCTCAGGCGATCCTTCCGCCTCAGCCTTCTAAGTAGCTAGAACTACAGGCAAACACCACCACGCCTGGCTAATTTTTTTATTTATTGTTGAGATGAGGTCTCACCAAATTCCCCAGACTGGTCTCAAACCCATGGGCTCAGACAATTCTCTCACCTCGGCCTCTCAAAATGCTGGGATTATAGGCATGAGCCTCTGTACCTGGCCTAAGAATCATTGTTAAAACATGTGCACGAGACTTAGAATTTTGGTCACAGTTTCCTCACCTGTAAAGTGACAAGGTTGGACTAGATGATTATCCTCCTTTTGCAAAACCAGCCCTTAAGTTTAGCCGCAAATTCTATACTTCTACTACAGTACAGTTTTCAGCTTGTGGGCTCTTAAGCCCCCTCACCCCCGATTGGGATGATAGATTTTAAAAGCTAAAGATTTACTGAACAGAAACAGACCAGTAAAGATCTATAGATTATTTTGTTGTCAAATGTATAGTTATATCTTTAACCCAATGACTATGAATGTTTGTTTGATTAAGGGAATTTTACCTCTTAGCACCAAACTACATTCCTTCCCAATTAAATTATGTGCATATGCTATGAAGAGCATGCCATCTGTGTTTTTTTGTTTTGTTTTTTGTTTTGTTTTTTGAGTTGGAGTCTCACTCCGTCACCCAGACTGGAGTGCAGTGGCTGCTCCCGGCCACCGCAGCCTCGACCTACTGGGCTCCGGCGATTCTTCCGCCTCAGCCTTCCGAGTAGCCGGAATTACAGGTGCGCCCTACCATGCCTGGCTAATTTTTTGATTTTATTGTAGAGATGAGGTCTCGCCTGCCCAGGTGGGTCTCGAACCCATGAGCTCAGGCAATCCATTCACCTCAGCCTCCCAAAGGCGCGGGATTACAGGCTGAGCCACCGAGCCCGGCTTTTTGAAACAGGAGATAATAGTAGCTTAAGTGATGAATTGGTTATCGGAAGACTAGGGTCATGTGCTGACTCACTGTGTGTCCTTGAAGAGTCATTTTTCTTCTTGGGACACCTTTTCCCTTGTTTAAAATGTGAAGTTAGTACTAGATCAGCATTTTAAAAAGTGTGTTCTTTTAATAGTTTTTGAAATAGATTTTTATGGAGAAAAAAGTCTTACTCTATTTTTTCTCCTTGGATATTCACAATCCAAGCATATTTATGGTCTATTTATTTCAAAAATTTCAACTAATCCCTCATATTCTCATATTCCTGTGTGACAGTAGATAGGAGCTCCATCTGATACTCAATTTTCCCACCTGTAAACTAGGGCTAAAGCAGGGATTGCCAAACTCAAACTTTGTGAAGGGTTAGATAGTGTCTATTTTAGGTTTTGTGGTCATAGAATCTTTGTTGTAACTTCTCAATTATGTCATTGTGGCCATACATAATATATAAATGAGTGGAGGTGGCTGTGTACCAATAAAACTTTATTTACAACAGCAAGACAGGCACTGGATTTGGCCCATGGCCATAATTTGTTGACCTAGACCAGTGTGTGGGCTATTTAATTCTTAGTGTCTTCACAAGTGTGACTCCCTCCTGACCTTCTCCCCAATGACTGTTCTCTCCCAAAACTGTCCCTCTTGTCTGCAGTTCTGAAAGTCGTCATCTTCTTCTTTTGACGTGTCTGTATATAAGACTGTCTCCATGTCCCCAGCTGCTGGGATGCCTTCTTCACAGCCTTGTTTTGTTTATCTTAGTAACTACCCTTCTTTAATCCCTCTGAAGGATTGGTTAGCTGGAATTTGCCTTGTCTTCCTCCTCCTGAGCCTTTGATCTGATGCTCATAAGCATTTGCTGACAGCCAGACAGAAAAGGTGGAGCCCAGATCCCAGGCCCTGGGGCCCGGGGAGTAATGAATGAAGGCTGCGTTTATTTGTATTTCTAATTGGCAAGTCCATTTCCAGATCATCTGCATGTCACTGCAAGCTGAGAGCAAGAGCAGGCGCAAACTCTTCTTTTTCTCTCAGAGCTCAGTGCTCAGGGCCCCTGTTTCCACTGAGATAGAGGCTTGTCTTGACTTCACCAGGCTTGGTTGAAGATGCCATCTGAATCAAGCTCTGTCTGTTAGTGTAGGATCACCCCTTTTTGCCACTCATATTGTGCATTGCACATGTGTGAGGGCATCATTCACATAGACTATGATGCAAATGGAACCCTCTGGGTTGTGCTAATCACTTTGCTTCTTCAAGATTTTTTATATAGCCGTACAGCCCTTTCTTTTTGTGAAATCTTATGTAGGAGGCCAATCTATAAAGAAATATTTGAAGCTGAGACAAGGGTTTGGAGCACTACTTTCTTAGTTTTCCTCTTGCTCTATGCAAGCAGTTGCTGCGGTACTTCCTAGGATCCCTAGAATTCCTCAGAAGTCTCTTGACTAGATCATTAATATAGTTCCAGATCATGAATATAGTTTTAGAGTCTCTGTACTACATCATGAATATGGTTCTAGTTTTGGAGTTCTATAATTTGTCTATTTGACTGAGTCTCAAGTACATCCCGAGTAACAAGTTAGGCACTGCACGTGGGCGGGAATGGAAGACATGGACTCTGGTCTCCAAGAGTTGATAATATCATTGGAGAGGACAGCAGAAAATGGGAAGAGAAAATAAACATTAGATCTCAGAAGTAGAAATACTTATTCTGAAAAGAGGAGACGGGACAATGAAAAATTTCTTTCTGGAGAGGATAACATTGGAATGGAGTATTGGTAAATTTAAAAAAAAAGATGTGGAGAGGAAGAAAGGAAAAGCAGGGCAGGGTGAGCAAAGGCATGGAGGTGGGAAATATTAGTAGCATAGCTCAAGAGAGACGGTATAGAATGGAGCATCATGAATCAGATCTGTGTGCATATGAAGAAGGAGGCTGGAAAAGAGGTGTGAACAAAGGAAGGGGTAAGAAACAGAAATAAAGGAAATAATGTCTTTTCCAGACAGTTCTACCTCCTTCTATCTCATTTAACACTCATTACTGTTTCCACTGGTATTATAAACCCCATTTCTCAGAATTAATCACTAGAGTCTCCTGAATATTATGAATCTTTTCCAAGGTTGCAAAAAAATTATCAAGCAGAAGTGAGATTTAAACTAAAATTGGCTTGACCAAAAGCTTGTATTTCCCTTATTATATTGAGATTAATGGAAAATAAAGGACTAGAACAAATTTTAAAGAAAGTGTATAATTTGTATAGGCTGACAGTAAACAGAAACGAATTTTGGGTTGGGTAAAATAAATTTGAATATTTACATCTTCCAAGTTTCTTGGATAATAATCTAGTCAACCTACTAACTTTAAACATGGGGAAAGTGAGAGCCAGAGAAAGCAGTAGAAAATTTAATGTAAGTGGTAGGAAAAAACACCATTCCTGTCTTTGAACCCTTAGGTCAGTGGTCTTTCCCAGGCATAGTGAATAAATTTTTCCATCATTGTTTTCCTTTCCAATGAATATCAGATCCTTAGCATATACTCTTTGTGAGTCAAGAGTCTGACCTTTTGAACAATATTGAATTTACCTTTCTCCCTGTTTTTTTGCCTCTCCAGAAACCACAGAGCTGGGCAGCAAAAAGGAGCTCAAGTCCATGCCTTTCATCACCTACCTCTCAGGTCTTTTGACAGCCCAGATGCTGTCAGACGACCAGCTCATCTCAGGTGTGGAGATTCGCTGTGAGGAGAAGGGCCGTTGTCCATCGACCTGCCACCTTTGCCGCCGGCCAGGCAAGGAGCAACTGAGCCCCACGCCAGTGCTGCTGGAAATTAACCATGTAGTACCACTTTACACCGTCATCCAAGACAATGGCACAAAGGAGGTGAGCTCCCCTGGCCCAGTGAAACTTTATCAGCCCTCCTACCTTCTGCCCTTGTGGACCCGGCAGCAGCAGCATGGTGATAACTAGGATGTATTGATTCCTTAGTATGTTCTAAGTACTTATACAGCTTGGTAAAACTAGCTGCTGTAACCAATAAGCCCTCAATTCTCAGCGTCTTAACATAATAGGGGGTATTTTTTTGTTGTTGTTGTTGGTTTGTACAGCATCCCATATATATGTTTTTGATTAACGAATGACTTTACTTTGAGAAATAGTTCAGGAACCCAGCATGTTCCATCTTGTGCTGCATTGACCAAATGCTTCCACAGTTGCTGTGGAAGGAGAATGAACATGAAGAGTTGCACATGAAATGCTTAAATGGGTCAACCCTGAAAGTGGCAAAAGGCATTTCAGCTCCTATTCCATTGATAAGAACTTGGCCATTGTTCACACCTATCTGCAAGGAAGACAGGGACATGTATTCTAGCTGTATGCCTCAGAGGAGAAGACATGAGTCTGGTGAAAACCTAGCAGTGTCTGCCTCACTACTATACTTGGATTATCTCATTTAATCTGCCCTCCAGATCTATGATTTACTTATAAATACTGGTTTCTTTCATATGAAATTGCTGACAGTTGGCCATTTTTGATTTATAAAAATGGCAGTTTTATAAGGTTTATCCTAATATCGTGACTACCTTGCAACTGAGGAAAGTTCAAAGATATTAAGTGATTTGCTCAAAATTGGTCTGCTGCAGGGCTTACATGCTTAACCATGAAACTATAGCTCCTCTTTTTCTCTTCAATATCTCTTACTTTTAATTATAGAATGTCAGGGCTTGAGGGAACCATATGGTTATTTGGTTCACTGCTTTGAAAAATTGTCTTCATGGAAAACTTTTTCCAAATATAATCTTTCAGGAACTCCAATCCATAAAATTAGCAATAATAATGCCACTACCTCAATGAGTAGGAGGAAGATGGACAAAGCATCTTTTACTTGATCCCCACTCTTCCCTCTGCAGTATCTCCCAAAGATCCTTGGACCTTCAAAAGTGACAATTTGGTAGACCACTGACTGAGGCCAACAGAACACCATGGATTATGTGCCCCTCCCACAGCATTCTACTGGGCTAAGTGCTAGAGGGTGTTGAGTGATAAGAGAGGACTTCATAGAGGACAGAGGAGACACGGCAGTAAGGATGTCGGGAAAACATCTGGTAGATGACCTAAACAAGAAGAGAACATAGTCTATACAAAGACCATGACTAAGACCAAGAGATGGAAGAAGCGGGATGAGGCCAGAAGAGCTGGAGGAGATGTGGTCATTTAAGATATTCTAAGCCAGGTCATGAAGTTTGGACCCTATGCTGAGGGCAATGAAATGATGAGAATATATGATGAGCAGGAGGCTGCATGATTAGATTTGTGTAGCAGAAGGAGGCACTTGTAAACAACTCAAGTGACCATCCTTGGGAGAGTAGTTAGATAAGGTATGGGTTATACAGATGATAGAATACACTACAATAGTCAAAATGAGCGAACTATAGTGATACCTGTCAATAGGAAATGAAAGTAATATTAAATGAATAAAATAAGTCCCAAATATAGATTTCATGTAACACAGTACCCTTTCCCACCTTTTAAAGTTAAAACACTCATACATCTCAAATATGCTATATTTGAGTATAAGTACAGACACAATAAATTTACTTAAAAAGAGAGGCAAGAAAGTGATGAACATAGGATTCAGGATGACAGTAATCCCGAGTCAGGAGAGGCAGCAGAATGACATGGAGAATATGCACATGTAGGTAGTCGAGTTCCTAGTTGGCATTTTTGGTGATGGATTTGTGGGAGTTTATTTAAGTGTTAAAACTAATTAACTTACTAAATGAATAAAGTCTAAACATTCATGGCTCAATAATAAGCTTCAGTGTTAAACCAAGCATTGCACAGAACCTAATTCTGTGCATTAGAGGTCCCCCAACTAACTAATTAATTGACAACACATATAACTACATACTTCTCTACACCTCTGACTTCTGGGTCAGAATAGATTGTGGGAATGTAGAGTAGAATCAGGGAGATCTGTGAGGAAGCTACTGTAGCTTCCAATGAATAACAAGAATGGCCTGACTAGTGTTGTGTCAGTGAGGACGTAACTGTGTCCTCATTGTGACTTTCCAGGACTTGGTGAATGAGGCTACGAATATCCCCATTTACTGCTCTGTGAATTTACCTCAACAACTCCCTTTCTGGGCCACACTGTCCTCATCTGCAGTGTGGTGCACGTGCCAAGCCACGGGACTTCTGCAATGTGTTATTGACACATGTGTGGCAGTAGATAGGGTGGTGGTGCCTTTCCTCTTTGCTCAGGAGCCAGATTCCTCTATGTCTGGATTCTATGCCAGCTTCCCTCTGCATTGTTGAAATGTTCAATTTATTGGAAACCCAGTGAAGTCTTTCTGAGGTCAGCAAGTGGTGTGTGATCAGAAAATCCCATGAGTGTGAAAGTTGTCACTAGATGTCACTGTTCTCCTTGTCGGAGACCTGGAGAGCTGGAAGCGGTGTCATTCATCCATTGATTCAATAAGTATTTTTGAATTCTCACTTTATGTCAAGTACTGTGTTATGCTCTGAGGAGTGAATAGTATAAGTGGGCTTAGTCTTTATCTTTATTGAATTGATAAACTTGTGGAGAAAGTACTAAGGAGATGTCCAGGTTGGGGTTGAAAGTGTGTAACAAAGGGTCTTGTGGAGTCAGGGAAGTCCTCCCTGCAGAAGTGACATTTATACTGAATCCTTGGGGACTAGGTACATGAAGTGAATGTTGAGGACTGGGTTTGAGAAAAGAGGAGGAAAAGGAGAGCATTCCAGATAGAAGACCCAGCTTCTGTGAAGACCTCAAGAATGAGCAAACATGACCATTGGAGGAATTGAATGAGAACCAGCATGACTTGGGCCAAGACTGACGGGGAAATTCCAGGGACAATGCTGTGGAGAGGTCAAGCAGAGTTGTGCAAGCTGTGGTGAGGAATTTAACTCCAGAGTAGTGGGAATGCATGGAGAAGTCAGGGCAGACAAACAGGCACGGGTGCCTTCTTCTCAGTTCCACGCTCTTCTTTCTTGTCCTGCCAAGAAATGTTAAATCCAGTAGACTAGAGGTAGCTTCCTCCAAGTCTACAGTTTCTTCTCCCCCTCTAAAATCCAAACATGCTGTTTAAACTGTCATGACAGTCTAGGGGCAGGAATGCATTAGATACTTCCAAGGGAACCAGATTATAGTAGGAATGGGTAGGACAGGCCCACTGCAGGTCTAGAAATCATCCTGGAGGAGGGAAATATGGCCTCCAAACAAAGCTGGTATGAAGAGACAGCAACTACTCTCATTTTGTTCATCACTTGTTTTTCTGCCTCTGCCTCACATCCCCATCATTCGTTCTCCCATGAGTGCTCCATCTTTCTGCCATCTCTTAGGGTTGAAACAGAAGCCACATGGATAAAACAAAGGGCCTTGACCTGTAGTTGAGGGACCTCAGCTCTGGCAATGAATCATAGCAAGGCTTTGAGCAAGTTATTTTCTCTTTCTGGGGCTTTCTTTTTCTTAATGAGTAAATCAGATAGGTTGAGTTTTCTTCTGAATTTTGTGCCAGAAACTTTGTCTATGTGGAAGCAGGTAGTCCAGGCTCTGTGCTTCACCCAGCTAGGGCTGGGAAAATTGCCTTAATCCCCTATTCGCTGTAATACCGAATGGCATCTCCAAACCTTAGTTTGGAGGTACATTTGTAAAATGTGGTCGCATGATCTCTACTTCACAGGAATCAAATGCGATCATGAATGCATAGTGTTCAGCACAAAGCATGTGTGTAATGGACAAATGTTATCTATGACAGTGATAGAAATAATATTTATTTAAGATTATGCTTTGCTTCCTTTGGTACCTCCACTTCTTGGTAGTACTTGGTAACTTTGCTGATGTCCATCATGTACTAGTGACATGATGTTTTAGAGTAGGATTTATATTTTGTATGGAAGAGGCCAGTGACTAACACAAAAGGAGAGTTTGTGAATAGGCGGATCTAAGGATCAGCTCCTCTGTGGGTGAGGGCTACCATAATTCATAGTAATGCAGAGTGGAAGTTCTTCTGTGTGAGAGCCCCTGATGCCTTGAGTTTTTGAGGCACTGAGTGAACTCCTAAGCCCCATTTTATGGCACAGACTGGGAATAACAGAGAGGGGGCATGGCTTGCCTGAGGCCTGTGGGAGTAGTTCTGCCTCTGATTCTGGACTAGGGCCAAGGTGTGCCCTTGAGGACCATTGGAGACTAGCTCCTTGGGTGGTTGGGGTCTCCTTGGGTCCATTCCAGTGAATGCATGGGAAAAGATGATGTCTTCTGCCTCTGCTGGAAAGGAGCCCTTAATTGCACTTGGGCTGTGGTTTTGAACAAGCAAAGCAGGAAAAAAGTCTTTATGATGGAGAATTTGATTAATGCACAAATCTCCTCCCTCCACCTGTTAAATGGCCCTTACACAGCCCAAAGCCGCAGAGCTTGGCTCAGCACAACTGGTGCTTACATGTACAAGACTTTGTGTGGTTGTTAATTTAGCCTGTGGGTAAAAAAGAGTCTCCAAGTGGAGGAGACAGAGGAGTGTCATGGTGAAGAGCCAGACAGAGCTGGATTTAAATCCTATCTTTGCCATTAACTGTCTATGCGACCTTACTTTTATTTCTTTGTAAAGGAGGCAATCCAGTATCTATCCCTATTCATTTCAGGGTTGGAAGTTTTTGTTTTGTTTTTCTTTTTTGGTGGGGAGAGTGCAGGGGGAGGAAGAGCTAGAGAACTGGGACACAAGGAATCAGAATAGGCTCCATCTTTGATGGTATTGGGCATGCTTCTACTGTCTGAGTCACTATTCTTTATCTGTATGTTGAGGAATTCACACTAGCTTTATTCAAGGTCCCCTTTGGCCCTAAGGTAAGGTCAGCTCTAACTTCTACCCTGAACATAAAGCCAATATTTTGAAGTTGAAAGAGGCATCTCGTGACCTGCTATTTATTTTCCATCCTAAGATAATGCCAGTTTT